ATATCAGCATCCCGGGTAAATATTTGTGCAAAATGTTACGCAACATATAGATTACAAAACTGACATTATCTGCATTCTCATTTATAATTACTTTAGAATGTTTGCAATGTTTTAATTTGGTGATGTCCAGGTGATGTGGTCATTTTTTCTAGATTATGTCATTGATATATCTCAATACAATACTTAAGTTTAATCTTCATTTTCACTTCTATCTTCATCACTGTCAAGTGATCCTTTGCAAATCTAAGCTGTACACGTCACCTCTATCTTACTTTAGAAGAGAAATTGGCACTTTTATAAAGCCCTAGGTTTTATCCTCCCAGTTGTAGCCTGCTAGTAAGGTGCTTTCCCTGCTCAAAACAGACATAAGGATTCTCATAGAGAATGTATGGATTCAATGTTTCTCTAGAAAGAACCATTGCTGGAACAGCATAGCAATTGCTGCGCATGTACAATGTCCCCAACTGCCTCCAGATGGGAAGCATTTGACCGGCCAAAAGATAATCACTAGTGATTCTCTCCCACAGTTGGAAGGGAGCTGTAAAATAGAACTCTCTTATCGCTGAATTAGAAATAAGTAATTTATTTATTTTTAAAGGAAAAGGGGGGAGGGGGGGCAGAACATTTCACAACACATTAGCCTTACAAATAAATCTATTAATTTATAACGATGGAGCATATCTTTAATTAGTAGTCTGATAAAACATTGTGTCATCTATATATTATTTTAGGGGAGGGGCGGGGGGCGTCTCAAGGCAAGCTTATGGTAATACATAAATTACTTCTGAAGATCAGAACATTATGGAGAATTAAAATAGACAATGCAGTAATTCCGAGCACAGCTTGAAGTCATGTGTTTATTTACAGGAAAAATATATTTAATGCATAGAATAAACAACAATCTTATTTACTTACAGACTCCTCCAATGCAGCAAATCAGATTACCTGTAAAGGTAGGAATTTATGTCCAACCTTAACAAATATTCCATTAGTCTTATTAATTAACCAACGATACAGAGAAACACAAAGGATTATTTACAATAAGCTAAATAAAGATATGGAATTTACTGCTCAGATATAAATATTAAATGTGTTCCCTTGCCCCAGTAAATACAGTTGCACTATTTACCAGGATGAACAAAAAAGCAGAGGTAAGTAAAAAAGCACTAAGGTTATAGTGATACTATAGGCATCAAAACAACTTTAGCTTAATGAAGCCATGTCGCTGTATAGATTATGCTCTTGCAGTCTCATTGCTTAATTATCTGCAGTCTTCATTTCCAATCAGATATCCACTTAAGGAGTTTTTATTTCCTGCTCTATAAATTGAACTTGAATCAAACACAGGTAACTCTAGTAGACTCTAACAGAGTAATGTAAGGGTGAGAGAAGAGAAACTCTAAATTAAACAGAATGTGCAATAAAGGAAGTTTAAACATTAGGTGTCTCTTCACAGGAAGTGTTTAGGAAGGCTGTGTGAGTCACATGCAGGAGGTGTGACTAGGGTTCATAAACAAGGAGATTTAACTCGTAGAGCTGAGCAGTGAGATTGCAGGGGTGTGATCTATACACCAAAGTGTTAATAAGATGAGAAATTCACACTTTATGAAACTCCTTTTACCATCCTCCCAGCTGTCCGTCAGATAGCCAGGCCCGTTTCCTGTATTCATTTATATTGAGTTATAGTTCAAGCAGACGTGAGGGGCTGTGTTAATCTCAGCATTTGCCATTTATATACTTTCAGTTAACTGTAATACAGGCCATTTAGTGCATATGATTGGAAAGTCCTGCACATGAGTGATTTGTAGCAATGCTCTCAATGAGAATGGAAAGGTCTGTGTTGGATTAGAAAGCTAATAGTAGCTGAATAAACTTGTTCTGCAGCTAATGTAAGATAGCTTTTTTTAAATTCCCCCCCGCCCCCCAGAAAAAAAAAAGTTAAAAAATAAATGTGTGTTTTTTGGTTTCTGTTACTAAATGATTTTTTTTATGGTGTATTTCTTTAATAGATGCATTGAAAGGGACTCTTTAGGTACCCAGAACACTTCATGTCAAATATCGTCTGGGTGTCATGTCAAAACATTATGAAGGCAGCAGATACATTTGCCAGCAGTAATAGTACTGGCAAATGTATCTGCTGCCTTCTCTGTAGCCCTATAACTGAAAACAGGGTTCACATACCTCTAGTGGTTGTCAGAAG